AGAAAGCTGTGACCCCCTAGAGACACTTACTCAAGATTGAAATTTTTATTAGCTCTTTGCTAATTTGTTTTGTTTTATGTAAACGTTTCATGCACAGGATGAATAGGTAAGCATTTTATGGGCAATTTCAGAACCACTCACAATTCCTATACCAAAGTACCAATGCTCTTTAAAACTTTTTTTTAAGAAATAGCATGCAATTTAATTTTTGGAAGCAAAATCAAACTTTCATATCATAGAGTTGAAATATAATACTGATAAAAATATAAAAATGTCAATTTTACAACCTTCAAAAGTTTTTTTAAAATAAATACATTCTTGTCCTAGAAATTCCACTGATATTGTTATGACATGTGTGAAATGTTTGAACAAGGATGCTGTTGGGAAATGTCGTATAATTTTAGAAGCAAAAACAAAGAGAAATCTAAAAATTATAATTAGTCATGATTTAAAAATGAGATATATTACCACATTAAAATGGAGAATTCTTGTGAAAAGAACACAAAGTCTTAACCTGGTGATGAATTTTAAAATAGGATGATAAATATACACAGAGCCCAAAATTAAATATATGCATACTCTTATTATTGAGATGTAAATAGGAGCACAAAATGTTTTAAGGATAATATGATAGGTGACAAGTGATGTGTTTAATTATATGTAGCACATTTACTAATTACATTAGTATAGAATTTTCTAGTGACCATTGCGGAAGACAAAGTTGGGAAAGATATGCCTCAAAATATTTGGATTAGTTATTATATTTCTATCCAATGTGATTTTACATTTTTTTGGCTTATCAGATTAAGGTGTTTCAATGATATACATTACTTTTATAGTAAAATCATAATAAAGAAGAAAAAGGATGCCTTGCAATTTTCCCAACACCTTAGATGATAGGAAGAATAAGCTAAACTTTTATCTTAAAATATGGCCCTATTTTTTTTATCTACTATCTTGTGTCTGCTGTTTCCATTGCATTCTCCTGTATTTGAGAACATGTTTCCCGTTGTTCCCTGTGAAACAGAAAATTTTCATCATGTCTTTGGTATCTGGGCCTCCAAAGGCATAAATAAATTAAGTTGACTAATTTATTTGCATGTTTTGCAAGTAAAACAAATGTTAAATTTGATATTGTGAGAATATTAACATTTACAATTAAAGAGAACTTATTATGTTCCTAACCCATTTGAAATAGACTTTCTTTTAAATGTTGGAGAGTATAAGAAAGTATTTATCCTGTATAATAAAAGGGTAACATGCAAATTGACCCTAACATCAGAAGGACCACTGGACCGGTCACTATGAAGTGCACTGACCGCCTCTTGGTCCCTTTCCCTGGCCAGCAGGCTCCGATTGCCTGATGGCCACCAATGGTGGGGCGGGGCTGGAGAATGGGGGGGAACAGCCAACCTCTCAGTCGCTTTCCCCAGCCATCAGGCACTGATCACCCAATGGCGAACGGGGACCTGGGGGTGGGTGGCGGCAGGGAGCGGGGTGGCTGTGGGCAGCTGTGGAAAATGGCCCTGATCCCAGGCCAGGCCTAGGGAACCATACCCACTCACGAATTTCGTGTGCTGGGCCTCTAGTAGATTTATAATTGCGCTAACTCAATCAAAGAGAAATTGCAATTATTGAAGGAGAAAAACTGAGGAAGAAGTAGGCAATTACTGCTTTGCTCTTCAGTAAGGTACTGCACTCAGCATTTCAGATTTGAAGTAAATTATGCGTTGAAATGATTTCTGTGTATATTATACTGAAAAGGAAAATGGGGCGGTGGAGGGGGGGAGGAGTTTGCAAGCTAGTTCAGTATCTGTTTAAAACTGTAGTCTTACTTCCCCACTCTGACTGACTTGGGCTGGGATGCAGAGCCTAACCCCAGGGCCCGGCACAGGAGGAGATACAGCGGCCAGACCCTCCCCATGAGTAGTTCAGGATTTGGATTCGGAATTCCCCTGGACCAGCAGATCTGTGAAATAAAGGTTAAACTTTCCTCCCTCCTGGTGCTGGCTGATCATTCTCCCATGCATTCTGCCACTACAATACTACAGAGTAACTAACACTCAAGAGTCAGAGAAGGGAGCCCGAAAACTGGTGTTTCTCTTTAAAATAAAAACTACCTTTGGTCACAGTGCTGAAACAGAAACCTCACTTTAAAAATAAACCTAAAAAGCCTGTTTAATGCAGTGCAACTATTCATCATGGAGCTTTATTTTATCACGTTCCAAAATTTCCAGCAAAAGCATAAAACTGCTTATGAAGACTATCAACTAGTGCCGTGGTCAGCAAACTGCGGCTCAAAGCCACATGCGGCTCTTTGGCCCCCTGAGTGTGGCTCTTCCACAAAACACCACGGCCTGGATGAGTCTATTGTGAAGTGGCATTAGAAGTTTAAGTTTAAAACATTTGGCTCTCAAAAGAAATTTCAATCATTGAAATTTGGCTCTTGATATTTGGCTCTGTTGACTAATGAGTTTGCCGACCACTGAACTAGTGAATAGAGAAGTCTCTTGGGTATAAATACAAGTAATACTACAGGGCCTGTAAATCCTTTATCTGTGACCCCTGGGTAAGCACCCTCACCCTGAGGCCATTAGCTCACCTGTCAACAGTCCTTTGGCCATAGTCCTCCCAAGAAATCCTTCCTGCTTGCTCTCTCTTACTTGCGGGACTCTGACAGCTGGGATTGGGAAGGAGACGGGAGAGCAGTGGCTTGTCCAGGGCTCATGAAAAGAGGTCCAGAGGGTCCTGTAAAGTCCCAGGAAAGCTGGAGAGGGAAGGGTGGTGAGGCCGGGGTGCTGACTAGGAAGGTTTCGGAAAGCCTACAAAAAAGTTACACAGTTGAGAATTTTGGTCAAACAGTATATAGACCATTTAGAAATATAAAGAAGAAATTACAAATTTTGCTTAGCTTTACTAATCGTTTTTATCATGTCTGGACTTTTTAAACTACTGTTTTATTGAGTTATAATTTATATACAATAAGATGCAAATATTTTACTTGTTCTTTAAGTTTTGATTATTGTAAATACCAACGCAACCCACCATCCAAAGGAGATACGGACGTTTCCTCAGGCCACTGTTCTGAAAACTACCTCCAGCCTGTGCATCACAGGCGATCACTGTCCTGATGGTTATCCATAGACATGTTTTACCTGTTTGTAAACTTCATATAAATGCAATAAGATGGTATTTTTCTGAGTCTTAGTACTTTTACTCAACATAACTGTATTGGAATTCATAATTTTTGTTGCATTTTTGTTCTTTTTAATCTCTGAGTATATTCCATAATACCAATATTCCATAATTTGTTTATATACTCACCTTTTGATGGAAAGCTAGTTCTAGTTTAGAGTTATTGAAAATAAGATGGCTATGAGCATTCTTGGACAAAGGCTCATATAGGCAAGTATAGCAATTTCTACTAGTAAAAGCCAGAGAGGAATTTCTGGGCTATATGATAGGTGTTTTTAATTGTATAAGATATTACTAAAGAGTTTTTCTAAGTCATTGTACCATTTTCATTCTCATGAGAAATAAGTTTCAATTGCTCCAAATCCTCATCAATATTCTGTATTGTCAGTATTAAGAGTTTAACCATCCCAGTGATTCTAAAAGGGATTGTACTGTACTCTAATTTACATTATTCTGGTGACTTAAGATGTTGACAATTTTTCATGTGCTCATGAGTCATTCACATAGTAACTGTTGTGGAGTGCCCAAGCATTTTGTCCAATTTGACTGACATATTTATCTTTTGATATTTGATATGTAGATGTTCTTTATATAACTCATTGTGAGTCCTTTGTCAGATGTAAGGTGCAAATATTTTTCCATGTTTACCTCTTTATTTATTTAATGACATATTTTGTGTGAAAAAAATAAATTTCTGATGTTACCTAATTTATAAGGTTATTTTTTTTCTTTTATGATTAACATTTTTTGTGTTTTTGTCCAAGAAATCTTACTTATTTTGAGGTTATGAAGATTTTCTCTTAGGTTTTCTTACAGATTCTAAGTAAATGGAGGCTTTTATAGTTGAAAATTCTGATGGTACTTTATTTCTACATACCTAGTTTACATCTGGTGTCATATATTTTCAACACAAAGAACTTGTTAGTATTCTTGTAATTGCAGCTTTGCCAGAAATAATTTATCTCAGTTTTCTCTGTATAACAATGTTTTATTTTGCCTTCATAACTGATGGATATTTTTGCTAAGTAAAGAATTTTAGGTAGTATTTTGTCATTGCTCCTTTCAGCATTATAAGGATGACGTTCCATTTTTTTCACAATGGTGATTTTGCTTTTCAGTCCATCTGTCTGGGTCATAGGAGATTTTTCTGTCTTGCTAGCTGCCCCCATTTACAGAGATTGGCTATCCTGCATTTTGTGTAGATTTGAAATATTTTGGAAGGTTCCTCACAACTCTGCCCCATTCCTCGTCGTCCTATTGATATATTGGAAGGCTTGAAATGTGTTCAGACTTGTGTTAGGGACAATATTGGTTCCCTCTTCAAAGTGTTGATATACTACCTCAATTACTTGGTGTGAATTTGTGGGAAAGAATGTAACTGAAAATTCACTCTGACTGGGAAATTTTGGAATTACAACCTATCAGAAAAGCCCTTATGCAAACACTATACGTTCATTAACACTTTGGCTGGTTTCCTTTTACTCCTGCCTTTGGCAAACCCCTCCACCTTCATCGTCTTTGCCATAGGTGAGAGTAGTGCAAAGTCATTTCTCGCCTATGAAGAGTACATTACTTTATGTCGCTTATTTTATGTAGGTTTCTTTGGATCCTCAGACCCCTGAGAGGATTTTTCAAACTATGGGTTAATCACTAATCCAGTTTGTTTGGCTGTAGAGGAGGAAGCAACAGAACGTGACTCTCTATACCCTAACAAGAGATGCTATTTCACACTTGCCTTGATACTACTCTGTTCACTTGAAATCTCTCTGGATTGTTCTTGAAAATAATAAAGAAACTAGAGGTCAATGATGAAAAACAAGACAATAACAACTTTCATTCTCCTTGGATTGACAGATGACCCTCAACTTCAAGTTCTAATTTTTATTTTTCTATTTCTCACTTACATGTTGAGTATAACTGGGAATCTGACCATCATATTCCTCACTTTAATGGACTCCCACCTTAAAACACCCATGTACTTTTTCCTTCAGAATTTCGCCTTGCTAGAAATTTCATTTACATCTGCTTGTATTCCTAGATATTTGCACAACATAGCAACAGGTGACAGGTCAATTACATACAATATTTGTGTTATTCAGGTGTTTTTTATTGATGCGTTTGGAGTTACAGAATTTTTCCTCTTAGCCATGATGTCGTATGATCGCTATGTGGCCATCTGCAAACCACTGCATTATGTAACCATCATGAACAACAGAGTGTGTGGAAGGCTTGTTCTCTGTTGCTGGACAGCTGGGGTATTGATCATACTCCCACCACTTATAAAAATAGTAAATCTAGAATTCTGTGACTCTAATGTAATTGATTATTTTTTCTGTGATTCATCTCCTATCTTGAAGATTTCATGCTCAGACACATGGCTTTTAGAACAGATGGTGATAGCCTGTGCTGTATTGGCCTTCATCACAACCCTTCTAGGTGTGGTTCTGTCCTATATTTACATTATCAAGACCATTCTAAAATTCCCTTCTGCCCATCAAAGGAAAAGAGCCTTTTCCACCTGTTCTTCCCATATGATTGTGGTTTCTATCACCTACGGGAGCTGTATTTTCATCTATATCAAGCCTTCAGCCAAGGAGTCAGTGACTATTAACAAGGGTGTGACACTGCTAATGACATCCATCGCTCCCATGTTGAACCCATTCATTTACACTCTGAGAAACAAACAAGTGAGACAAGCTTTCAGTGACTCATTCAAAAGAATTGCATTGCCCTCAAAGAAGTAAAAGAATGCTGAAATCTAGGAATCAAGTTTTCAAAAAAAAAATCAGAGATACCTAAATATAAACTTTTTGAATAAATCTTTATTGTTCAGATTATTACACTTGTTCCTCTTTTTTCCTCCCTATAGCTTCCCTCCACCCAGTTCCCCCCCCATTGTCCTCGTCCATAAGTGTAAGATTTTTGTCCAATCTCTTCCCGAATCTCCCCTACCCCCTTCCCCCTGAGAATTGTCAGTCCACTCCTTTTCTATGCCCCTGATTCTATTATATTCACCCTAAATATAATGTTTTTAAGCTACAAAATCATTCTATCCTCTTCATCTGTATTCTAATTCAGGTTAACTTCCTCAAAGCATCCTAAAAAATATTAGTTATTTTTACTCTTTTTATAAATGAACTTCTGTCAAGATAATATCTCTTACCAGAAAACATGACTATATATGTTATAGTAAATATGTTAAATATTATAACTTCTACAGCTTAACCAATATTTCAAAAATGTAAAATGATGGAAAAATATTATACAAAATTAGTGCCTAATTTTTAAGAAGTGTGTTGGGGGGGGGATCTACTCTGATAGGAAAGTTGTATTCTAAACATAATCTTAAAATTAAAAGACCCAGCATCATTCCCTCAGGCATATGCATATACTTGATATTTTAAGGTCTGGGCTGTTGGATGGAACTAAGCCCTATCATAATCCTGCTAATAAGTCCTAATCATTGATTGACCAAACATACAATAGCACTAAAATGAACATATGACCCAAAGCTCCAAATATTTTTAGTATTTCCTATGTCTATGAGACTCACCTTATGAATTCCACAGTGAATTCCATTGATCTCTGGCTTCAAGGAGAGTTTAACCAAAGTAAGGATCTGACTAAAGATTAGAGTTCAAAAGGAGAGTGGAGTTGGGTTTCCATTTTGTCCGTTTATTTGGTTGGAGTTGGTAGTGGTTGGCTCATCCTTGTACTAAAAGCCAGAACTGCTGCAGTACATCCCTCCTACACTAGAGTCACTTTCTCCACATTCCAGAAACTGTGTCCTCATCTTTTCAAAGGGGTATTAATGGCTCCTCGTGTTGCTATTCTTGCACTACTACATCATCTCTTTCTTGTTTCCTTTAATACTGAGTACAATTTTATTAAAAGTCTCCTATCAAAACATGCTGTACATAAGTACCCTATCTCTGCTATTACATCCTCTAATATGCCATAGAACTGACAATACCTTCATGGTTTTTCTTGATGCTTGAGTCCCTGTTATTAACTATTTTACACCTAGATTTTAGATGAATAAATAACTTAAGTATCTGAAAAATGAATAGACTTTAATCCTAGATAGTCTCAGTGATCATGAAGAACATTGAAAATTACTTAATATTTGATCTTTCTGACAGTCCTGGGAGTTTAATGTTTTGATGTCTAAATCGAGTGTTTTTACAGTTTTTAATGCAAATACGTATTAAATCCAAAAATATAAACACTATCTTTATAGTCTACTAGAGGCCCAATGCATGAAATTCCTGCAAGGGGCTCAGCCCTTGCAGCCCAGAGGATCGTCTGGACAGTCGTTCTACTGTTTGGTCTAATTAGCATATTATTAGCCTTTTATTATATAGGATAGTCTAATCTCTAGACCTGTGGTCAGCAAACTGTGGTTTGTGAGCCACATGCGGCTCTTTGGCTCCTTGAGTGTGGCTCTTCCATAAAATACCATGGCCTGGGTGAGTCTATTTTGAAGAAGGGACATTAGAAGAAGTTTAAGTTTTAAAAATTTGGCTCTGAAAAGAAATTTCAATCATTGTACTGTTGATATTTGGCTCTGTTGACTAATGAGTTTGCCAACCATTGTTCTAGACCGCTTCTAGAAAAAAAGCAAGTGGGGTGGTCTAACTTCTGCTTAACATTTTTAAAGTTTTTAGAATCCCTGAGACAAAAAGCCTACCACCATCTATAACAATATGTCATCTTTTTGGTTCAAGAATTATTGATGTAACTTATAGGCCCATCTAATTAAAGTCAAAGGACAAAGAATTTGGAAATCTTCAGAAGACAACTTTAGCTGATTTTTAGTCTGTGCTTCTGTTATCACTTTTTGAAATCACTCTTTATTAAGAAGGAATGTGATGAGTTAATGATTGATATTTATGTCTTCACTTATGTCACTATCTAGCACCATATATCCTGACATGAATATTGTTTGGCAAACTACAACTTACCATAATGGACATTTTTCTGAATGCATTCAAAGCTAGAATTTTGTCATATGTGTAAAGAAAATAAATAAAATTGTATTTACTTGATTAATCTGAAAAATAAAACAATATAAAAGGTGAGATAAAAATTTATATAGTGACTTCCTTAATAGTAAATGTTGAAAAATAGAATGCTTTCATCCTAAGATCATGGAATCCTCATCCAACATATCTCTTTAACACTATACTGAAGGTTCTCACCTATGAAATAAGAAAAGGAATCAAGTGTTAAGAATGGACAAGAAGAAAGAAATTCCTCTTTATTTGCAGGCCAGATGGTTGTCTGTGTAGAAAATCTAATGTAATTTTTTAAACAACTACTAGAACTAATTAGCAAGTCTCAAAATATAAGGTCAATATACAATAATCACTTTTTATTTTTATGTACTGACAACAAACAATCAATAATTGAAGTTATAAAATAATACCATTGACTGGGAGGTAACAAATCAATGTGTCTCTCTCATATCACTGTCTCTCTCTCTCTCTCTCTCTCTCTCTCTCTCTCTCTCTCTTTATCTCTGCTTCCCTTTCACTCTATCAAAAACATTGGGAAAATATCCTCAGGTGAAGATTAACAAGAAATATAGGATGTAGATAGGTAGGTGATAGATAGATAGATGACAGAGAGATGATAGATAGATAGATGATAGATAGATAGATAGATAGATAGATAGATAGATAGATGATAGATAGATATGAAATAGTAATAAATCTGACAAAATATCTGCAAGATCTGTATACCAATCTAAAAGACATGGGTGAGAGAAATTTTAAAAGATTAAAATAAATGGAGAAATATACCTTGTTCACAGATTTCAAGAGTAAATATTGTTACAATGTCAACTATCCTCAAAATTTTCTGTATATTTAATATAATTTCTATCAAAATCTCAGTAAATATATTAGTAAAAATTGGCAAACTAATTCTAAAATTCAGATATAGATACAAAGGATATAGAATACCTAAAATAATTTTGAGAGAGAACAATATTGGAGGACAATTACACCTTAAATTCAAGACTTATAAGGCAAAATAAATAAAAAATTTGACCACCAACTTATACCATACTCAAGATAAACTCAAAATGGATAAAAGACTTAAATGTAAGATGCAAAGTCATAAAAAGTCTAGAAGAAAACATAGGTAGTAAATCCTCAGATATCTTCATAGCAATACTTTTGCTGATATGCCTCCTAAAGCAAAGGAACAAAGGAAAAATTAAATAAGTGGGACTACATCAAACCAAAATACTTCTGCACAGCAAAAGAAACCATTAACAAAATGAAAAGGTAACCCACTGTGTGGGGAACATATTCACCAATGATACATCTGATCAAGGGATTAATTTCCAAAATGTAGGGTGTCCCCAAAAAATGTATATACACTGTAACAACTGATAGTTCAATTTTGAAAATGAAATGTATTTTAATAAACACTGCATTTATAATTATTCAAAGTGTGTGTATACATTTTGGGGGGACACTCTATGAATAAAAAACCTATAAAACTCAACACCAGAAGACAAACCATACAATTTGTAAAATGGGCAAAGAACCTGAATAGACATTTCTCCAAAGAGAATATACAGATGGCCAATAGACATATGAAAAAATGCTCAACATGGCTAATCATGAGAGATGCAAATTAAAATCACATGAGATATCACTTCATACCTGCCAGAATGTCTACCATCATAAATCAAGAAACAACACTTGCCGACAAGGATGTGGAGAAAAGGGGACCCTTGTTTGGGGGGATGCGACTGGTGCAACCACTGTGGAAAACAATAGGGACTCTCCTCAAAAAATTAAAAATGGAACTGTCTCTTCACCCAGCAATCCCATTTATGGGCATATATCCTAAGAATCCTAAAACACAAATTCAAAAAAAATGCACCCATATGTTCATAGCACCCATAGTTATTTACAATAACCAAGATCTTGAAACAACCAATCAGCAGGTAAGTGGGTTAAAAAATTGTGGTACATTCACACAATGGAATACTACTCGGCCATAAAAAAGAAGGAACTCTTACCTTTTGGGACAGCATGGATGGAACTGGAGATTATTATGCTAAGTGAAATAAGCCAGCCAGTAAAAGGCAAATACCACATGATCTCACTTATATGTGGAATCTAATAAACAAAATAAACTGACAAATAAAATAGAAACAGAGGCATGTATGCAAGTAACAGACTAATGGCTGTCAGAAGGATGAGGGGAGGGGAGGAATGGAGGAAAAAAAGAGAATGAATTACCCAAAGAACATGTATACATAATATATAGACACAGACAATAATATGGTAATGGCCAGAGGGAAAGGAGGGTGACAGCTCTGTAGAAGTAGGCAAAGGGGAAGAAAATGGAGATGGAAAGAGACTTTGCTTGGGGTGATGGGCACACGATGCAGTGTGCAGATGTTTTATTGAATTGTATGCTTGAAGCCTGTATGTTTCTGCAAACCATTGTGACCCCAGTAAACTCAATTTTAAAAAATAAAAATATAAAGGAAGAACTCTTGCCATTGGTGACAACACCAAGGGTAGACCTTGAAGGCATTATGCCAACTGAAATAAGTCAGACAGAGAAAGACAAATACCATGTGATCTTACTTAATTGTAGCCTTTAAAATAAAATAAAAAAGCTAACAAAGAGAACAGATTGGAGGATCCAAGATGGCGGCCGACAGAACAGCAATGAGGGAGGGAGTGAAAAGGGGAGTGTGTGGATGTGTGGGGCA